CTGGGCATCTCAATGTGGGAGCAGACATCCTGTCGAGGCAGGGGCCGAGGCCCGGGGAATGGATGCTTCACCCCGAGGTGGTGAAGCAGATATGGAGAGTTTTTGGCCAAGCCCAGGTGGACCTGTTTGCAACTCAGATGACATCGCACTGTCCCCTCTGGTTCTCTCTGACTCATCCAGCTCCACTGGGGCTGGATGCCATTTCCCCCGATCGCTCTGCTCCCGGGAGTTCTGGAGAGAGTGCGCCAAGACGGAGTTCGTCTACTATTAGTAGCCCCGTTCTGGCCGGGCCGAATATGGTTCTCTAACCTGATTTCCCTTCTCGATGGCTCTCCATGGGAGATTCCCGTCAGGAAGGACCTCCTCTCACAGGCGGAGGGTACGATATTTCACCCCCGCCTGGAGCTGTGGAAGTTATGGGTGTGGTCCCTGAGGGGGCACAACTAGTAGCTTCTGGTCTCTCAACTGAGGTTGTTGAGACCATCCTCCAATCCAGAGCTCCCTCCATGAGGAAACTGTACGCCTTGAAGTGGAAACTTTTCACTTCCTGGTGTAGAGACCGCCAGCTCGACCCAGCTAACTGCCCAGTTGGTACAGTACTGGAGTTCCTGCAGGCCCGTTTCTCTACAGGGTTGACCCACTCCACCCTGAAGGTCTATATGGCGGCCATTGCGGCCTATCACGCCCCTCTCGGTGGTCAGTCAGTGGGAAGACACCTCCTGGTTATACGTTTCCTCCGCTGTGCGCTGAGGCTGAGGCTAAGGCCTCTCGTACAATCTCGCGTCCCCACGTGGGACCTGGCAGTGGTGCTAGAAGCTCTCTGTAAGCCTCCGTTTGAGCCAATTGCGGAGATTTCTGATCGCCACCTTACGATAAAGACTACCTTTCTTTTGGTGATATCTTCTCTTAAGAGAGTTGGGGATTTGCAGGCCCTATCTGTGGCCCCTTCCTATCTTGGCTTTGCACCCAGTCTGGCCAAGCGTTTCTGTACCCTCGAGTGGGGTATGTTCCTAAAGTCCCCTCATCTGCACCGCAGCCCTTCGTACTTCAGGTCTTCAGTCCTCCTCCCTTCAGAGAGCCACACCAGCAGAAGCTTAATTGTATGTGTCCAGTGCGAGCACTGGACGCATACGTCCACAGAGCTGCCCTGTGGAGGAGGGCGGACCAGCTGCTTGTTTGCTACAGTCCCCCTAAGAGAGGTCTTCCAGCAACGAAACAGACCCTCAGTCAGTGGATAGTGGATGCCATCTCCATCTCTTATGAGTCCTCTGATCTCCCCTTGCCGCTAGGGGTCAAGGCTCATTCTACTCGAAGTATGGCGGCCTCTAAGGCTTTGGTCCACGCCCCTTACCTTCGTCAGGTTCTATGGTCTAGACATGTGAGTCACTCCTGGCTCTTCTGTTCTCTCGCCCCAGCTGTGCAAGCTGCCACTCTAGGCAGAGATTTGGAAGTCTGGCGGCGTGGGCATTCTCGTTCCCGAATCAATTTCCGACTCAGCTCGAGTTCCTGAAGAGGAACGTCTCAGGTTACGTATGTAACCATGGTTCCTCGAGGGAACGAGACGCTGCGTCTCGTTGCCATAATTCCGGCATCCCTGCCAGCGCTTGCCACATTCCTAAAGCTGACGCCGGCTCCGCCGCACGTGCTTTTATAGCTTCCTGGTCATGAAGTCACCAGCCCGTGATGTCCCGCTCAGCTATTGGACTGATTTCACATGTGACTCAGAGTGTGGTCACAGAAGGCGTTCCCGAAGTGTTTTCCGACGCAGCTCGAGTTCCCTCGAGGAACCATGGTTACATACGTAACCTGAGACGTTTTCCACTTATGAAATGCAGTGCCCCCAGCGCAGAACAAACACTGTGGCTTAATGGAAAATTCCAGGAACATTCCTTTGTTGAAATGTGTCACACAATTGCTGCTAGGTTAAACTTGTCATGGCAATTCTCTAAAAAATTTTTAAAATGTCTTGTTTTGGCTGTTATGTGCACTGTCTATTTTCTTTAAGGAGAAATATTATTGTAGGTAGATCTGCTGATACTTTGATCGTGGTTTGTATCTGGTTTCCCATGACATTAACTTCATATGTTTGATGTTGCTCTCTTATGTCTTCTCAGTACAAGCAATATCTCAAGTTAAAAATACCTAAATAAAAATGCTTTTTCAATGACAATCTGAAAGACACTGATTAATTTATTTGTGGAACACAAGAAAAGCCAGTGAGGTGTTTTTCTGTTACTGTAAGCCTGAAACATACTCAGTGCAAGTCTGAGAACAGACACTTCAAGCTATGCAAGCTTGATTTCATGTATTGTTGTGTTCCAAAATGTGACTGCAATAATTATGCTGCTGTACAAGTTATGTTACTTGCTACAGTGGTTATTATTTAAGCAAAGTATATGGCCAAAATCTGATTTTTTTTTGTCACCCACAGAAGTAAATCGACATTGTCCATCCAGTACATAAATAAACATTTAACCTCATTAGAAACATATAGATTGGTGCTGGACCATAGACAATATCAAAAATACATAGTAATGCGTTTTCATTAATTTTAATCTATTAAAAGTCTGTTTTATTCAAAATGATATGGTTGCCAGTCATACACGGATGCATAATCCCAGATGGCCAGATGGAGGAAGGTGCATAATTAGTTATCAAACATGATCTGAAGAAAAACATCCTGGGATTTATCTAAACTATATTTCATCAGTGGTTAATTTTCCAAGTCAATTAAAAACAATTATCTTAAACATTGCAATAAAACAAGGCTGCCATTATATGAAGGAACAAGGGGCACTATAAATGTGCTGTGTACTTTGTGGCCTAAAAAGGAAACACTTACTAGGTTTCTCCACTATAGCCAAAGATAGCAGAAGTACTTAGAAGAATAGTTTTAGGATTGCTAGACAGTAATGTTTCACTATTAGGCTGGTTCAGAGAACTTGATAAAATGTATTCTTTGTTGATTATACACACTTTTGCTTAGTTAAAAAGTGATAACTGCCTTGCATGACTGTAATGTGTTTATATTGCCATTATTATGCAATCAAAATGAAAATAATTATTGGTGGTCTATGGTGATACTTAATAATGTTACTTTAATTAGCCTAACTTTAAATTAATATAAGTTGAAAAGATGTTATGCTGATATTGTCCAAAGCTAGGTTGTTTGTAAACCTTTGGAGGACACTGAACATACAGTATGCATTCATGTAATTGTATTACTATTATGAAGCTCTTCTAAATGACACAATTCAAACCACAGCATGACTCATTTGTTGCCTAAAAATGGTCATTTTCATGTAAACAGATCTGCGCAGACGCAGCAAAAACCTGATGATATTTACTTACATTTCCACTGAATCTGCACAGATTTTACATTAACATTAACTTTCCTAGAAGCATTTCACAAGTTGAAGCCACAAGTTGATGTTGTCTATATCATAGATACTGTCTGTCTAGTTATATGAATCTTAACACATCAAATTGGTTAGTGAGTTGACAGAATTACCCACCACAACTGATTTTCACCCGCATTTGGTGGATGTCCATTTCAAACCATGTTATGATATATGTTAATTTCAGAGAGTGTCTCCACTGTTACTTGTTATAATATTAGTCCTACAGGAGAAGATAACATGAGGATGATGATAAGATAATTTTAAAGAGCCACATAACAAGCATTTAAATAATACTGTAGCTTAGGTCTAGAATATCTTACCTCTGGGAAAAGGTTTCCCTCCCTTGATGATGCACTGAAGCATCACCACTGATCCAGCAGCTACCATTGCATTCTTAAGTGGCGGTTCAGACATGGGGGCCTCTGCTGGGACCTCTTCCACAGACATGTAATTTCCAAAAATGTCCATTAGTCCCTCCACATCTAAAAAACAACAACAACAAACTAAGTTTATCATGAGTCATTTACAATGGAAGTTGTATGGACTATAAATGGACAAATTCCCAATCATTAAAATATTCACTGTTTTGTTGCAATAATAGAGCCACAAGACAAATAATGCGTTAACACAATTTCAGTTTGAAATTACTAACCTTTTTGTTAAACTATATAGCATTTTACAACTTTGTTGTAAACAGAATAATTAATGTAAGTGACTTGTATAAAATTGTAAGCTGCACACGCCTATTTTAAATCCTCCAAAAATTGGCCCCCCTTGCTTCTAAATTCAAAGTTACTTTTGTGGTAATCAGCAATTTGCCACAAATTATGTTGATTGCTCTTGAAGTGTATTGAACCCCCAATATTTTAAAATGTATGAATCTAATAAACTACAGTGCTGCTTGTAACATTTACAAAAGCTTGCCATTACACTTTATATTTAACCCTGTGTGTTTTAATAAATAGTGGCTTATTGGAAGAAGTTTTACCTCTGTTTCTTCTGGTTATTTTTCCTTCATGTTTGTTAACTTCCTTTTGACCTTTCTCTGCTTTATGTGCCTCTTCATCCACAGGCTTATTTTCAACCACAATTGTAGGTATGGTCATTTTAGGAATAAGTGGTGAGTCTTTTTTCTCCTCTCTTTCCTTAAATGACTTTGGGAGCACGGAAATTGAACCAAACAACCTTGGAGGTTTTTGGGGTGCTTGCACCAAACCCCCTTGCATTATGGTTCGAACAGGTGGTATTTCTACAGGTGATTTTGGTAATTTGCTGGACATATTTGTCCTTGGCACCATTGGTGAACACTGTCCTGGTATTTTACTGAAAGTGACCTTCTCGCTGATGACTTGCCTGTCCAACAGCTGCCTGGGCTTAGAATGTTTCCTCCACTGGTTTTCTGTAATATCAGGAGGTGATTTCCTTTCAGGTTGTTTTGATTCATCTGCCAGTTTCTCTTTCTGTAATTGTTGTGATTCCTCCTTTTGCAAGGCTGACCATCTTTCTTTTGATTCTGGTAAATCCTTTGAATTAGTAGTCTCTTCAACCTTCTGAATTACCTGGGCTGGAACTGAATCAGTGTTTCCAGTGGACTGCTTGTCAGTCTGGGTGAGCTGATCCATTGAAAAGGCTTTCTTGATATTGGACTTTCCGACAAGTTTTTTTATTCTGTGAAGCTCTTCTGAGAGTTTACTTTGAAAATGTTTCTGTACATAGGTTGACTGTTCCTCCAGAGAGGATGCTTTCTGCTTGAAGAAAGACCTCTTGAGTGCCACATCACTCTTGGAGTTGTCTTGGAGCTTTCCAGATTTACTCCTACTATCCTCAGAATTGCAGGTTGATGTTCGATTGAAGCCCCATGGTAGTCTTGATGAAGACAACTTTGGTATGTTACTGCTGTGTCTTTGTTCCTCAAAAGCTCTCACTTTGTCTAAGATTTTGGAACTGGCCTGTGATGCTTTTGGAGTTTGGAAGGAGGATTTATCTTGGGAACCACTGCTTTGAGATGGAGCTGAGCTTATGATTTTAACAGGTAGCTCAGCTCCATTTATGGCTGTTTTGGTGTCATTGTGGGCAGTTGTTGGATCAGTTGTTGGCTCTACATCACTTAGGGTAATGGGACCTTGAGTGTTTTGGAATGGCTGGGTTTGGACAAATGGAGATGTTTCCCTTTTTATAAAGTCCAACTGGTCCCTGAAATGAGGGTGATTGTGGAAAATTTTGCGTTATGACAAAAAAATTAAAACACTAAAATGGCAAAATGGGTGATTTTTTATTTTGTTACTAGTGCATTTTTTGAGTGAAAAATGAAAAATAGTCAAACATAGTTATCCAATAAAACATGCATTGGAAAACATACCGTGTTGAAAGATGTAAAATATTGTTGGAGATAAATAAATCTAAATTAGACTGCCGTAAGAATACAAATGTCACATACAAAGGCATGCAAAAAGGTTTGTAAGAAAAAAGCCATATCAAAAAATAATACAAGAGAAGTCAAAGGAAAGTAGGAATAATAATTAAAAAAAACATAACATGACATGGCATGGTTGACATAAAAGTCCACAATAAATTAAGAATATGGTAACAAAAACTATTTTTAAATGTTTCTTTAGACCTATAATCTAAATGTAATGCATTTATTTTGTGCCGCCTTAATTCAGGTTACTTTATGCCTTTTCATATCCAGTGTGCCAGCACTCAATCTTGAACACTGTAAATGGAAAAGGTCCTTCTTCGATAGAGGCTCAAAACACTGCCATAGTAGTCACTGGCTAAGGACATACTCTCCTCTGACCCCAACGCCACATAGTACACACTTATTTGTGAGGCCCGCACAAGAGCTTCAATCCCCAGGTGTCTGACTGGAGGGCTCTCAACACACCCAGCATTTGCTTGCCTGCTAGGTGACAAGGGATCCCGAAGACCAGGAGCTCTAGAGCCCAGGATTTGCAGCTCCCTCTCCACAACTGGACCATCACCTGGGATATGGGAAAGCACTGCTCTCCCCCTGCCTGAAAATAATATTCTGTTAATGGGATATCATGATATAGCTTTTTTTTATTATGCTAAGAATTTTATATTATGTTAAAGTTTTTTTTTTTTTCAACTGGTTAATTTGATGGATGGATTAATTATAATACGTTTATGAATTGTGAGCTTTGTTGGAGGGTTTACCAATCACAATTTTAGTTTGTCTTGCAGTAAATGATTCTGAAAGGCCATTATTTGTGTATACTGTCATTGGAAAAATACATTTGTTATGCTTTGTGGCCAAATGTGGAAATGTCATTGACGCTACAAACTGAAAATTGCTGAAGGGGGAATAAAATCACTCAGTATGTTCTTACCAGTAGGTTGACTGTTAATTGCTTCCCTCTGGGGAGGCATGAAATGTTCCTTCACCTCCATGGAGACCTGAGGCTCCGCACTTTCATCCTCTGTACTGTTTGAGTCTAAAGAGAGTAGGTGAGGCATGTTGAAATGTATTGGTACGATTTTTTAAATAAAATTTAATTTCTTCCTAATGAACTAGCTGCAAGAAATCTGTGGAGAAAAAAAAAACTCTGATACCTTTGTATCAAATATCCTAATTAAAATAATAAACATTACAATGATCTTACGCATACTTACTTTTTAAAATTAGTCATAAAATATAATCAGTAACAGTTGCCTAAGGGCTAGCACTTTAGCTTAGCATGGTGTCAAATCACTACATTATATGAGATTTTATACCATGATTTTGCTCTAAAAAAATTGTTTTATTTGAAGCAACCTACCTATGTGATCTGATCTGGCTTTCTATTAGAGAATGAGTCAAAAGTTTAAAGTACTCTATATGGTGATAAAGACTATGTCAAAAGGCACTATACAATACATATACTTTATTATTATGTAGGGGAGAGCGGGGCACAAAGTAACACTTTTTGACTTTCTCAGTTTGTGTAAATTCACATGGGTTCAGAATATAATTTTTTTTATCCACAGTAATTTTACACTTGTCAAGTACAAATATGTTGCTTTGTTTCATAATTACAGTGTATACGTTTTTCTTTATTTACCCTAAAAAAAATGGAAGTGAAATGTGACAACATGTCCCGTAGGTGGGGTACATTGTAACATCTGAGGGGCACTTTGTAACATGACCATATGACAGCTTAAAATGTTATCTGATCGAATGAAAAAAATATACAAGACAAACTAAAATATTTTGTTAATAAAATAAAATATATATTTTTTTCAAATAAAATAATGGCGCTTTTAAGAATTAAAAATAATCTGATTTTGGAGTTTGACAATGAACACATTGCAACCATGCTTGGGATGGCCCACATAAACGAGCAAAAATGCTTTACATGTTTTGAAATAATAATTTCTAAACAATAAACATTGACTGTCAGTCTTTATTCACCTGTTTCTCGTTGTTTCTCATTAAAAGTCATTAAAGTAAAAAGTGTAAATTACATCGCTAATGTCATAGAATAGCACATTGTAATGCAGTGTTAAAACATGCCCCATCTGCGCAACTGAAATTTAAAACTGGTTAGTGTCTTCTGCTAGTTATCAAAGCATTAAAAAACGGAACTAATAAATAATAGTAATAGCAGATTTGTCTCATTTTAAATTAATAATAAAAACTTTACTTAAAATTTTAATTGAAATTTACTTAAGCCAGAATTGTAATTTTACTATGGTAAAATAAATGTTCAGCGATATCTGAATTTTGAATTCACCATGAATTTTGGCGCACTTTTTTTCTATATAATGTTGATATGGTAACTAATAAATACTGTAAATTTTGTTATGCTAGCATGTGTGGAAATATTCAAACCATGTGTGTTACAATGAACCCCATGTTACTTTGTGCCCCGTGCTCCCCTATTATGAAATACCTGAGATTGCTGGAAGAAATATGAGCACTATGTATTGTCTTCATGTTTTATCATTCAAAACGGTTCTTTTATTTAACCACTTATTTAAACCCCCCCCTCAATAATTGTGATATTTACAATTCCTAGCACATATTAATAAATTACTGTCACTAAAAGATTTTTACAGTAAAAAGGTCAAAAATTGAAGCTTAAAATATCTTTTTAATGATGGATAGTTTGTCAAGTTAATTAGGCCTACATAGTTTGACTTAAAGTAAAAGTACTTTCAGACCGTATTGTCTTTTCCTGGATATAGCATGACAATTTCAGATAATATCTCCCAATAGATTGACAATAGATTGAAAGAAAGAAAGAAAGAAAGAAAGAAAGAAAGAAAGAAAGAAAGAAAGAAAGAAAGAAAAAACAAACCATGCTGTGTGCAAGCCTTACTTTTCCCATAACAAATAGTGTACAATGACCTGGTGCTGTGTTTGCGTGTGGACGAATGGCCAAACTGCGTAGAAAAAGCTGCAGTTTTGAAAATAACTGCGTTCGTGTGGACAGGCCCTACGTTTATGAAATTAAACAAGAGCTCCGAATGAAAACCTACAGTATACTTTACAGTTATGTATATAATAATGCATGGTTGCAAACCCAAATCCATCCAAGAACCCAGTAATAAAAGATGAGGATCACAGAAATGGAAAACAATTACCATTGCTTTGCTTCCTGCACAAGCGAAAAACTTCACTTCCATAACGGCAGCAAGCAGAAGTGGACAAGAGAAGACTGTTACTATAGAAACCAATGTCTGCAGACATGCATTTGTGTGGGAGCATATACATGACACACACAAACATACACACACACATATCCACAATTACAGGCTAAATTAAATTTTTTTTATTATTGTACACCTTCAATCAGCTCTGCATTCCTTACGAATACCCAACAATTTGTGATGTCAACATTTTAAAAAATCTATGGATAGAAATGTATTGTCTTAGCAGCTATTTTTAACCCTGTTTAACCATCTACGCCATGATTATTCTGCAAAACATATCCATTCTGTAAAGTAGTGCACACACTTCCATTGTTGTTGTTGTTTTTTTGTCTACAAATAGGTTTGCGATTTTGGACTTTTTACTGTTGTGTCGTAAGCAAAACACACCATGAGTGAATCTCCCAAACGTCCAGCTAGAATGCCCCGCTGTCTGGAAAGACAAAAATTACACAAAAGGCTGTCTGTTAATTTTGGGAAGTGATAAATAGGTTTTTTAGCCTGTTTGTTGCATCCATAGTGTTATGCTAGTGGTGTAAATAATTTGGTTTTCATTCAACAATGTACAATCTATAAATATATCATGATGACACGAGGCAAAGACTTATGCCTTTTCCCTCCTTTGTCATTTCTCATGCTTGCAGGCTTGCAGCATTTCAAATGTACTCCTATGTTGCTACCAAGGCAACTAGGTAATGTAGTTGCCACAGTGCCTAAAAAATTGTTTATTTCCCATTTTAGAGGCAAATAAATGAAAAAATATATATTATATATAGTGACATCAGGTCTGTTTGTTTCAAAGTCTTTGTATTGGTTGTACATAAACAATTGGACATGAGGTAGCTGGTAGGATACCTTAAAGAATTAACTACAACTACATCACTTATTTTACATTGCTACACTGTAAGTGTGATTTGCCAATCCAAGAAAAAAATTAAATCCAATTCAAGAAAAAGTGTACGACTCACCTGAAATCTTTTCTTTGACCAGATTTTCTTCATGGCCTCAGATGAACTTAATCTATCTTCCAGACTAAACAACAGAGCCACCTGCCTGTGTTTCTGCAGAGAATACCACTGTCTATTTCTAATCTAAATCCTGTTTTTTATCGACTCCTGTGTACACTCCTAATAATCACAGTTATGTCGCTGTCAGAGCTTTTACCTCAGAAAGAATGTACCAAAATACACAATTATGCAAAAAGCAATAGAAACAGTACAAACATCCAATCATGATCCTCTTGTGACAAAAGAGAATTCATGGGAAAAATTAAAAAATCTCCTCAAGTAAATGACAATATCCAAGCTGTTTTGGATCCCCCCAAATATAAAATATTCCAAGGCACAGCAGGAGATGGAGGTCAGCTCGGTCCTAGTCACAACAGAAGGGATGAAAAATCTGTCTTTTACAGAAACCCACTTGCATTCTTTCAATCCCCTTTGGAGATAAAGAAATAAAGAAAGGGGGAGTGGTAGAGGACTAAACAGACTAAAAAGAGAAAAAAATATCAAGCGGCAGCTAATAAAAGAGGCAGATCTTAGTGCATTCAAAGCAAAAACAAAATTTTCAGCTGCCTGAGTGCGCTACCTCTCTTTCTCTCTCATCTCTTCCTTTGTCTGTGGTGCTGGTGTGAAGAGAGAGAGACTATTGGTCTCAATGCAAAGCATTAATTATATATTCTGTCAGGTTGTGGTGACGTCACACTACTCCCATGTCGATGGTGCTGCTGCTGGAATGGGAAAGAAGGAAAGCTGACACAGAGCATTAACTTTTTTTTTTTTTTCCTTTTGCTACGATGGCCTTATTTGCATTATTTCATTCAGTGTACACAATGAAAATTGTATATGCTTTATTTTGTCTGTGTTTACATGAAATTCTGTGAACTGCATGGAGAATGACATTCAATCTTTAGCTGGCAAATATGCATCAATGAAACCACAAAGACAATAATATTGTCATAGATTAATTAAAATTTCTTACATAGGCCTATAGCTAAAAACAGAACACTCTGTAGGTTGGAGCACTGACCTTATTTTAAATTTAGCTGCAATTCATTCCTATTTTTCTTTAATTGTGTAAACAAATTCAGTAGCTTTACATTTAAATTATTTTGCTAACTTTATTAGAAACTGTAACAAAGCAGACCGAGCCTGATGACTGTGTGAACCTATAGTAAGTGTTGGGATATTTATTGAACACATGGGTAAACAGAGCATATGGAGCCGGAATAGCAGTAAAAAAAAAAAGACATTAACGTAGAAGATGGAACAATAATAAAGCAGGTAAACTGATAAAGATATGTCTCACAATAAAGATGAAAAGTATCCACAAGGGAGTCATAAAGAGAACACTGCATGCGGAAAACTGAAGTGTGAGGTGAGTATCCACCGGCTCCAGTCCTGCTGGAGTTGATGGCAGTAATTTCAGAGGAACCAGGAGCCAGATAGCAATTATGTTAAGACTGCGTCTTAAGAACTGCCAAATCTTAGAACAAATTAGACAAATGTATCTTTATGTAACTGAATTAAAAAAGTTATGACCAGTCTTGAAGAAAAAAAATGGATGACTTTTTTAGACTAATCTAAGCAGTTTGTGCAACTGGCCCCAGGAGATTTCCTGGATTTTGTGCTTGGACTGGCTGTTGGACTGGGGATGATAGCCTGACGAAAGTCTCAAGCCCTATTCGGACGGGACTAGTTTTCTAAACTATGTTTGCGTTTCATTTGAGTGTTTATTACGGAGGTGGGAGGGTCTGTTTTGTACATCTAGGCGTTGCAAAGATCACTCGTTCTATATGCATGCA